CCCTGAGAAATCCTTGCCCCTCTCAGCTACAACATCACTTGTACACCACCAAACAACATGAGCACAGTGAGAGGCAGATCCAGGGGTGGTAGACAGGTGTGCTTGCACCCTCTCCGTCTTTGATTCCTGCTCCACACAAAGTTTAAAACCAGCTGCCTGGCAGTGGCAGCAGCATTTCTGGTCAGGAAGTGAGGAGAGAGTTGATTGATTCATGGCTCTTGATAATGTACCTGATTCCTACTAAACTCTTAATTCTGCGTGTGTTAATGACCCCCTTTCCTGGTCTGATGTTCCACCAGTGGAGCTAGCCTTTGTTCTACCATTCTGCACTGTTAGGAGTTTCCTTACTAGGAGCTGCTATTTCACAGCCCTGCAGATTGTCTTTAGCTCATTCCAGTGAAGTTATATTGCTTTTTGCTTCAGTCTCAAACAATCATACAGCTCTGCCCCTCACATATTAGTAAAGTTCTAGTTTATTTTTAACTGGAGAAAAATACGTGTTGTTTTATGTGTGGTGATGAACGATGCACCTCCCTGTCTAAACCCCCACTTCTCAAAATTCTAGACTGACCATGAGCATAGTGATACCTGCCTGACTTCTTTTGAAGTAAACAGCCCGGCTGTCTGAATTCAAGAGAATGGAATCAGGCTGTCATCTGTTTAAGCCAGAGGTGTCAAACACATGGCCCAAGGGCTGGATCTGGCCAGCAGACCTGGGTCTTTTGCCCTGACTCTGGCTATGATGAGGCGGGGATATTAGCAGGATAGCCAAGCACCCAGGATGCGAATCTCTTCCAGCTGGGTCCCAGGCTGGTCAGAGCAGGAGCTACATATGCTGGATCCAGCATGGGATGGGTAGGGATGTGGAATCAATCTGGTCCATGGGACCGGCCCAGTGCCATTCAACCAACCCTGCACCACTTAGCCATCCCATGGGGCCAGATGATTTTGACATCACTGATTTAAGCAATTAGGTAAAGAATTACTGCCAGTTGTCCAACATACAAAAACGTTTAGAACATTTATGTTAAATCCAAGCATTGGCACTTTTAGTACATTCTATTTGTTCAATACTGACAAGATAACAAAGACACTCAGTTTTGTTACTAGGGATGGGTATGCCTTTGTCAGCTGCTAACACATTAGAAGGCAGGGAGTAACACCTGCAGTCACATGAATAAACTAGTGTAAAGTTTAGCCATGGCATTCTTCCACGCAAGGAAGTTTAACTGAAATTGCTACTAAAACCAGTCTTAATCCGGCACAACATCCCATGAGCATTCTTGTTGTTCTTATTATTGTTCTTGGTTTATTTCGGTTTAGTTTCAATCTGTTCCTACTCTGTGGCCTGACCAAACAACACAGAACAGCCCACCAGCCCCTTTTTTTAAATAGTTTGAATAAATCAGCTTAAATTGAACTCTTTCAATGCACAACTTTCTAATGAGACTTACGTCTCACTAAGAAAAAAGAACCATATTCATGCCTAAAGCAACTCAACAGAATTTCTTCCATTACACTAAGTCAATGGATTTAAACACTAATGAATGCCTCTCAACTTCCACATGTAGCATTGTTTCCCAGATAGAATTTAAAGTTAGGTCACAAGCACCTTTTTCTGGGTAACTGTTAAAAGACTTTTCATACAGGATACATTTTCCAAAATATTTTGAGGCCATTTCTATGGCAATTAAGGAAGTAGCCAAGCTAAATAGATTATTCAGTGTTTATTGCCAACTGATTTATGAAGGTCCACTTTCTTACTAGCAAGCAAAAAACTACAGCTCTAATGTAGTATTTTGATGTTTTTGTCTGCTTAACAACTACATGCTTTCTTATTTATTTATTGCTGACCTTTCTTCCTTTGAAACCAGAAGAGGAACAAAAGTGGCAACTAGATTGTTCAGAGGGCCCAGATCCCTCTGTGGTGCTTATAGTCGTTATAGAAATTCAGATAACAAATACTGTACATAATAGACAGTACTAATCTCACTGGTGCCTCTTGAAACCTTACAATTCCGCACAGGGCTGCACACTAACATTTATCTTCTAGAAACTCTAAGAAAGGTAAAGAAGTTGAAACCATCAGTGAACACAACCTTCCCTTTTGGCTAAACATGGTAGAGAGCAGGCCAATTTCCCCTCAAACCTACAAAAGATAGACAGGTCTTTGGAATTCAAGGTGGTTATTTCAGTCATTGCCTTTGTGTAATAATATAAATCTCCCCATTGAAGTCGTCTATATCTGTGTCTCACTTTGCTTTAGAAAAGATCAGATATGAGGATCCAGGTATTCTACCAGTGGATATTTAGCTTTCCTGATGTGTTGTCTCTTTGAGTAATGTTTAGGTCTAACAATCTCAAGAGTTGAACTGAAGAAGAAACTTTGTCTATACAAGATTCCACTTTTTGAGGCTTTCTGGTATGAAATTGAAGGTGCTATCCAATAATATGTGTGAGCATCTGCTTTATATATTTTTGTGAAGCTTCTCAAGCCAATTACTTCAGTTTCCATAGTGAGCAGTTTCGGCTGTCTTGTATATCTTTGATCCCTGAATAGCTTGACACACATCCTGTTTTAAGAGTTGTCATTAACTGTGTTGTCTTCTTTGTACTATACAGTGACTGGTACTGAGACATCCACTAATTAGCCTTATTTTTTAACCTTATTCCCTAGGTTCACTGACATGGTTAAAACAGAAAACATCCAAAGAAAACATTTTGAACTCTTTTCTTTTCCTTTCTTTCATGCACAATGATCTGTGTCAGTCAGACAAGCTTTAATTTACCTGAGAAAACACTGAGCCCTGCAGCAAAATCTAATTTTCCAAGAGTAGGAAGGGTTACCATTATTATTAAAGGCTCTGAAACAAACAAGCGACGTCCGTTATATTCAAGTTGTTTTATTCAGTAGAATAAATTCAGTGAAATACAACAGAATTGTTTCTACCAGCATTAGAAAACAGAAGTAGTAATGCTGTTATAAACTCTAAAAGGACAATGGAGAACACAGCTGACATAGTCCTACCGATCCTGATGGACTAGACACTAAATTAAGGATCTTGAATCAACAGTACTACTTGGGATTCCTACAAGTGATGTGGGGATCTATGCATATCTCAGGTCCCCAGAAACCTCACCCCTTCTCTGTGACCCTACACCTACTATACAGTGGAAAAAGAAGGAGACCATCCTTTCTCCAAGGAGAAACAGCAACAGGAGATTCTCTACATCCTGGAATAGAAGCAGAGCCCCTCACCCATTTGAGAAACACCCTTTGGAGATGGGTAGCAGCAGATGGAGTCCCCAGTACCTATTCCAGAGTCAGAGTGGGCATGCTTGATAGCTTTGGGTCTGCTGTACTGTGTTTTCTGCCACTGAATCCTCTGCTAAGTAGCACTGGTAAGGAAGGAAGTGTCCAGAGCTGCAAGTCTTTGGACATGGGGCTAGTTAGCGTCTCTCAAACCTATTGTCCCAGGCTGGTTCTAGCAGACATACTTTTTTTACATTGATTTTACTTTTGTGACTTTTTTTTGTCACATTTTCTCTGATTCCATGAGGCTAGAAACTTACTTTTATAAAATAAAAAAGGAAGGTGAGGATTAAATCAAAAGCATGTAAGTCCTAGCATGGGACTTGCATACTTTGGTATGGGACACAAGACTGGAGCCTGCCTATGCCTTAACCCAGCCATACCTACACAAGAAAAGAATTCCCAGCAGCATGAAAAACAACAGAAGATCCACCCTATAAACTGGAGGAGAGACTTAGCTTAGATGTTTGTGAACAAAGACTTGCAGAATTAGGCTTTTGATGAGAAACTTTGGCGATAATACACAAAATACTAGGCTTTTAGAAATACCATGGTTTTTTATATAAGAATTGGTGTTTAGAGACAAAAAAGTCATAACTAATGTTTCATTCAAGTCTTATATCCAAATATTCCATCTATCCAACTAATATAACAGAATTAATCAATAAGTGGCAGATCTATTAATATATTTTAATAACAGCACTGAATGTCTTCTGCCCTCCATCCCCCATACATTCTTACACAAGAAAAAGGAAATGAAAGGATTCCTTGCTGTTTTAAGATTAGTTAATATTTGGAAAGTACTTAAAAGATATTCATCAGGGAAGGACAAAGACTCCTTTGTCTGGGACTGTGGAGGTTTCCTTATGCTAAGGTGAGGAAAGAGAATTAGTGAAGTTATTCAGAAGTATACAGCATCTTTGCTGGGCAGAGAGAGAGCACAGCAGAAGAGGGAGTGCAACCAGATGCCCTCCAGCTCTGTAGGACTTCCAGTCCATTGCAGTACCCCTTAGAAGCAGGAGCAGAGAGAGCTACCAGTATCTGAAGGAGGATCCATCTTCCCCTGAATAGTTCCTCAGCCACTTAGTAACTCCAGGGGAGACTCCCGTCCTTTGTGCATTTCTGTAATCACTACTCAAGATGGGTACTTGTAACGGGTCACCCTCCCCGGTGCCATCTTCCTAGTCATCCACACCTTATGTGGGGCGCCCTTGGAATCCTTCTGTCCTGCTCTAATCTTCCCTGCCACATCTTGTTATAATTTATTATGAGAATGGAAAACTGCCTATTCTATTGGGTATGTTGGGGTCTCTCCTAGAGTGGCCTGACCCCTTTTTCTTCTAGCTAGACTTCCTTGTCCAAACCCACCACACAGGGTTTGACCCCAAGGCTCTAGCTTTTCCTTCAAGTGCTTGGAGGCTCATGGCTTCCTTTTCTGTTCCCTTCTGGAGCAAGGTATCCCCTAGCCTAGAGGTGCAGGTGCCAGCTCCACAGTAAAGAGGCTACCAGTTCAAAACCAGGGGCAACCAGCCAGTCCTGATAACAGCACAAAAAACCCTATGTATATATATATATATATATATATAGATATATCCTTGCACACCCCCACACCAGGCATCCCTGGCCTTTTTAAGCTCATCCTTCCAGTGCCAGGGTTAGTCTCATCCCAAGAGTCTGTGCCCCCCAAAAGCTACACCCTCACTGGTACTGGGGTCTGCACCCCCAAATATGAAGCCTCCTCCATCCCCTAATAGCCTCACCCAAACCTCCAGTTGTAAACAGTAAACAAAAAGCTCAAGCCCCTAGGCTATAACATAAATTCAAGCTGTCTGGCTATAACAACATTCACCACTCCAGGGTTTTGCCTTTTCACTGGTATTGCCTTCTTCAGTCATTCAAGCCCTATCCTTTTCCTCACTCCAGCAGAGTTCCTTCCTCTATGGCTGCTAACAAGAAACTCAGCCCTGGGGTTTAAATGGGAGCCAGGCCCTGCCCCTTCTGGTCAGCTGACCGCTGACAGGTATGAGTCACTGGCTCCCTCTGGTTGCCCTAGCAACCAGCACCTGGGCTCCTTCCTCATTGCTCCCAGGAGTAGCAGGCACCTTAGTGCCCTGCTACAGTACTACATGAGGTTTTTGTCTCAAGAGCTAAAGTATTATTAGTTGGCCAGTTCCATATACAGTATATCATGAGTAGGTATCTGGGTTTTCCTTTTCCCGTAGAAAAATGGAGAAAAACATGGATTTCCTCCCCTTTACCAGAGGAAAACATGCATTTCTATTTTAACAAAGAAACCCATGGATTTTGCAGTTTTGCAAAGAGCTTTCTGCAGGCTGGCAGATTTCCAGCCTACAAGGAGCTGGGAATGGAGTGGGAGAAGAACAATTAGTACATGGCCGCCAGGCAGCCTGTAGAGCAGTTCCCGTAGGTAACTGGGGGATGGGATTGAGGCCTCCATAGAAAGGGAGGGAGGGAGGGAGTTGGGCAGGGCTGGGGCTGCTGCCTAGCCAGGCAGTATGTGAGGCTTGGGGCCTGGGGCTGCAATGCAGGGGAGCAGGACAGGGCCATGGGCCCCTCGTCTGGGAGGCGCAGGGGTTGGGCCAGCTCCCTGCTGCTGCACGCACTCCTGGAGGAGGGGCAAGGGGCCCATTTCTCCCAGACCACTGCACAGGTTGGAGGCAGGAGTGGGCTGCCTGCTGCAGGCTCAGGCTCCTGCCCTGCTGCCCTCCCCTGGGGGCTCCACAGCCCAGTAAGTACAATCTGGCACTGCAGGGACAGTGGGGCTGCGCGGGGATCTCCTTGCTGCTGTAAGTTCCACACTGCTCTGGCACAGCGTCCCCTGCCTGTGCGGCAGAAGTGATGGACACAGCCTTGCACCACTGCCCTAGCTGCTGCCGTGTGCGCAGGGGACACGTCGCCAGGGCAGCATAGAGCTCACAGAGACAAGGAGATCCCCGCGCAGCCCCACTGTGCCCTGCCACACTAGGTTGCACCCACTGGGCTGCTGAGGCTCTGGGGGAGGGCAGCAGGGCAGGAGCCTATGCCCACCCCTGCCCCATGCACAGATCTGCTAGGCATGGGTCCCCGCTGCCCCCCTGGGAGTGCATGCAGTGACAGGGAACTGCCCTCCCTGCCCAACCCTGCAGCAGGCAGGCAGCAAGTGGGAAGCCGGGTTCTGCTTCACTGCCTCCTGCTGGGGGCAGGGAACTGCAGACCCCAGTCCCTGGCCCCATAGCCCTGGCAGCTGGGGGCTCCTTCCAGCAGGGCTGGGTGGGGAGGAGGCTGTGGGTGGGGGACAAGGGGCACAAGCAGGGCTGGGTGAGCTGTGGGGGGAATGAGGGGCACAAGCAGAGCCGGGAGGCTGTGGGTGGAGTGAGGAGTACAAGCAAAGCCAGAGGTCTGTGCAGGGTGGAGTGAAGGGCACCAGCAGGGCCATGGGGTTATGCGGGGAGTGAGGGGCCTTTCATTTTAAACACAGATTTTGGGGTTTTTAACAGAAAATGTTCAGGTTTTTTATCAGAGAATTTTTTATTTTTTACCAGAGAAAATATGGATCCCTGATCATGACTAAGAATTGAATAATTACTGTTTTCAATTAACTATTAGAAAATGTACTCTGTATAAGAGTAGGCAATTTCCCCCTTTTTGTTCATGGGGGGGAAATTCTCTTCCTAAAACCAAAAGAGAAGAAATTTGTCTTGGAAATTCAACTGCCACAAAGGAAGAGAACATCTGCCATGTTTTCTAGACCATGTTCATAGTGTTTGAGTTCTCTGTAGTGAGACTCAAGTTCAGGAACTTTCTAGGGTTGCTGACCAAGGAGAATAAGGTAAAAAATGCTTAAAGGGAAACTACAAACCAAAACTGTAAATTGAGCTAACCCCGTATCACTGAACTGAAATTCCATTCTAAGCAAGCTGTGGGTAGTATTCAACACAAATATATTTTAACTGACATTTTATATATTCTGTCTTATCTTCTACAATTTTGGTGCATCTCATCTTATTTAGCATATTCCTTCAAATATAACAGACTTTTAAAAATGAAACATTTCTTCTAAAATGGCCTGCATCTTACCTTTGAGTAAAACATAAATAAAAGTTCTTATATGCATACATATTTTCTATATATAAATAAAGATTCATTTTTATTTTATTATTTTTTTCTTAAATTAAAATTAAGTGAAATCAGATACTTCTTAAATCCAAGGCATCTGTGATTTGAAGGACTACAATAAGAATCCCCATTTGATTTTTTTAAACTTAGTTAAAATTTATCTTTATACTAATTAGTGGAGCAGGGCCAAGGAGGCTGTGGGTGGGAGTGAGACACTCAAGTTTGACTCACTAATATGTGTTTAATGCAACTTTGACATTTGATCAGCAGTTCACTTTTAAAGGCCATCCCAAAAATACCTGGGGAAAGAAAAAACAAATCTACTACAAAAAGAGTTATCTTAACAGACAATTTTAGAAAAATTAAGAATCTGAAAATGCCTGCACAAAAGAGAAAATTTAAAGGCTGAACAGGTTATTTAGAACAGCCAACAAATGAATT